GCGTTTGTCTTTAAGTTTCTGGGTGGCCGTAGATGAAACGCCGCGCCAAACAATCTTTTTCGGCGGCCTCCCGCCGCACCGCGAGGATAAAGCCGCGCCAAACGGACCTTTAATTTAAATGTTTCCTAGATTGGGTCAAGTCTTTTATAAATAGGAGTTGATGTCTCTAGGGTCAAGGGTTTTGATTTTGAAATCTAATTCAGTTTTATCTATGTATTTCCCCTCTCAAGGGTTGTATCTGACGATGAGGAAGGTGTTCCGACTGTAACCCCGTTCGAGGTGGTGTTTATCTTCTTCGGTCCGATCTCTCCCCATAGTCCTGCAGCTCGGCAACATCCCAACACCTCCGACCATCCACACGGCAGCTTCCCTGCCTCCTACTACTCTCCCAGACGTGTCGCCAGTCCTCTACAGTCCTCCCACCTGCAGATTACTGCAACCCTGCTGTTCTTCCCGCCCACACCGACAGCCCCTACAACTTACCTGCAGGCCCTCGCAACACCTGCTGCCTCTCCCACAACAGGTCGCAGCCCCACTCAGGCTTCTTCGGCGCCTCCCACCTGCAGATTATTGCAGCACTGCTACTCTCCCTGCCCACCGACAGCCCCTACAGCTTACCTGCAGGCCCTCGCAGCTCCTGCCACCTCCCAGACAGCAGGTCGCAGCCTTTCTTCACCATCGTCCGGGCCTCCGCCATTTGGCATTCATCGCAGCAGCCAATTCTACCTCTGACAACGTTCCTGCTTCTCTCCAGCTGCGGTTCAACGTCGTTACTATCATTACCCTACTGTCCTACGTCTTCCACAACAGCTCCCACCTCTCCAACCTTCACAACAGTCACCAATTCCACCTCCGACGACATTCCCGCTCCTCTCCAGCTGCAGTTCGGCGTTGTTGCTACTGCTAACCTATTGTCCCGCTTCTTCCATAGCAGCTCGACATCTCTCCGGCTTTCACCGTAGTCGCCGCTCCAAGCCCCATCTCTCTGGACTCCCTCCTCGTCGAACTTGTTATGTCTTGATTTGTTGAGTCTTTGTTTGTAATGTTATAATTTGTGTTTTGATTTATGTACTGTCTTTCCTTTTCTTTGGAGTTGTCATTGTAACCTGCCTTTTAAGTTATTAATAAATTTGTGTCTCGCGTCGTGGCTTGGGTTAACTCCAATATCATTTGGTATCAGAGCTAGTCCAACCCTAGTCTTATCCTAGGGTTCCCTAGCATCCGCACTCCTACCCAAACCGATTTTTATCCCCTCTTCCTTCTCTCTTTTCTTTCTTTTCTTGATTTCCTCCATCTCTTTTTCTCCTCTTCATCATTCTCTTCTTTCCCTCTTTCTTTCCCTCCACTCTCCTTAACATCTTCCCCAAACCATCAGCTATGCCCCCTAGAAGAAACATACCGAACCACACCCAGGATGTGCTACAACGTGAAATCAGTCGTCTACAACAACAATTGACAGCGTCAGATGAAGGAACCCAAGGCGAGGTTACCCTCGATCATGACCTAGAAAGTTGACATGAAGACTGAAA